AAAAAAGAAAAAAAGAAAAAAAAGAAAAAATAAGGAAAAAAGAAAAAAAAGAAAAAGGAAAAAAGAAAAAAGAAAAATAAGAAAAAAATGAAAAAGGATAAAGATAAAAGAAGAAAAAAAGAAAAAAGAAAAAAGAAAAATGAAAAAGAAAAAAAAAAAGAAAAAAAAGAAAAAATGAAAAGAAGAAAAAAGAAAAAAGAAAAAAAGAAAAAAAGAAAAATGATAAAAGAAGAAAAACAGAAAAAAGAAGAAAAAATAAAAAAAGAAAAAAAGGAAAAAAAAGAAGAAGAAAAAAGTGCAGCTCAAATGTAATGTTGAAATCAACCATTTCAATGTAGGAATCATTCGCCATTGATTGACCAAGCAGTTTCAAATGAAATTTACAAAATCTTTTTCTTAAAACACTTTTTCAGGAAATTAGATTTCTGAAGTCTTCTTTTATCGTTATTTCTTGAATTGAAGGGAATTTCCTTTCAGACGTTTTGTTGAAGGTCGTGTGTAAAGTTAACAGCATGACTAGATCATTATTTTTATAATATATCTAAAAAGAAATCCATTGGACCTATTCGTATGAAACTATTACATATAGTATATGTTTTATCAATCCATATCAAAGAAATTCTTTATAACATGGGTCGGCAACTTTTTGCTATGTGCTGACTTAGGGTTTTAAAATCATTCAGTGTGCCAACAGCATGCGTATTGTTATACAAGTCATGGTCAATATACCTGTTCTACAATATATTTTATATAGTAATATATAGTATATATATATATATATACTTTAGTATATATTAAAATTGAAACAGCTAAATATCTTCTTTGCGCTGAAGTAGTTATTGGTTCGGACTTTGTGATGTCATTAGCGGCTGCGTGCCATTGGAAATTGTTTGGCGTGTAGATTGCCGAAACCTGCTCTATAATCCTATTAGATTAAAATGTTACTCTTTTTTTTCTGAATAAAGAAAGAGATACGTCGGCTTTATAATCTAAAAATTTATTTCACTGTTTGGTAAAGAGAGTCCATAGATTCTGACTTCGAAACTTTGAGATGTGCCCCTTTCCAAACACATATTTACTATAATTGTTTGCTTACGGCCATATCCGTTTGGAAACGCAAATTCTTGTCCGACCACCGAAGTTAAATAACATTAATCTTTGTCAGTACCTAGATGGGAGACAGCTTGAAAATACTAAGCGCTGTAATTTTCTACCAAAACCCATTGGTTTAGCGCAGTATTATAATATATATAATATAATATAAAATATAATGTAATATATACATTATAATATATATAATATATATAATATAATACATATATAATATATATAATACAATATAAAATATACTATAATATATACAATATAATATATATAATATAATATAAAATATAATATATACAATATAATACATATAATATAATATATATATAATATATATAATATAATACATATATAATATATATAATATAATATAAAATATACTATAATATATACAATATAATATATATAATATAATATAAAATATAATATAATATATAAAATATAATACATATAATATAATATATATATAATATATATAATATAATACATATATAATATATATAATATAATATAAAATATACTATAATATATACAATATAATATAAATAATATAATATAAAATATAATATAATATATACAATATAATATAGGTACCTCCACTTTTTTTCGGCAAAATTTTCGATACCTAACTTTAAAATAAATTTTAAAAAATGAAAAAACATGCTTTAAGATTTTATTTTAGCTTTAATTGAAAGTTTAATCATTAAATTTATTATTTCCATTAAGTAAACAATTCTGGTGTATTTCAGATAGAAACTATATACATTGGAATATCAAATTTAGCTTCGGAATTTTAAGTTTTCTTAAAAATCCCGCCATTTTCTTAATTTTAAGAAATTTGTAGACAAACACAAATTTATCGATTTTAAAAATATTTAACAAAGTTTCTGACACGTTATTTTAGTAAAATTAGAAAATTTAATGTTAAATTAATCTGATTTAAAAGAATTATTACTTACTTCTAGCATAAAAAAGTAGTATACAACCAATTATTAACGATTGGTACTGGTGTTTTTATCCAATATTTGATCTACGTGTTGAGTGACGAGTGACGACAGCTACTACGGATGACCCCAAATGAAAATTATTAGAAATCTGAGTGAACGCTTTTAGTTTTATTAGAATAAAGGGACAAAACTCTATTTATAATAATGGCAATAAAATTAGATAATTCTTTAAACTTTTTTTTTTATTATTTAGATAATTCTTTAAACTTTTTTTTTATTATTTAGATAATTCTTTAAACTTTTTTTTATTATTTAGATAATTCTTTAAACTTTTTTTTTTATTATTTAGATAATTCTTTAAACTTTTTTTATTAATTTCTGCAAACACGTTAACGATGTGTATCTGAACTGGACAGAGGAGAGAAATAACTGCGGTGCCAGACGACACAAATCACATGACCTTTTTAAGGATTATGTCGCGTATACATTTCCATACATAGAAATTATGAACGTTTTTCAATAAAAATTTATTTTAAAATTATTTTTAAAAATATTTTGTGTAAACGACTGTTATGTGCTTTTCAAAGTTCGATTTGTAACTTTACATTTTCATTAACGTTATCATTGCATTATTTGGCTGAAAGAAATAAAGAATTTTAAAATTTTTTTGAAGTATTTAAGACGTTAATGAAAAAAAATTTTAAAATGTGGAAAAAAATTTGTAAAAAAAATACATTATTCATCGAAAAATTTTATTTCTTCACAAAATAATGTCCTTAGTATAACGTATCTACAAAAACAGGTGTAAGCTATTCTAATTAATTAAATGTCATACTTTTTTACATTTTTTTTTTTTTACAATTCAAATTTGATTTTCTATAAGAAAAGTAAATGTTTTACAAAAAAAAAACTGGTGATTTACTTTCTACAAACATTCCTGTTTATAACTAATAAAAAAAATCCCGGGGGCGTGTATTTAATTTCTTGAAATTTCTTGAAAATATGTAAGTGGGTGGAAACATGTTTAAAAAAAACCTCTTTTTAACAAGATTTTCTGAAAAAAAAAATTTCCAAAATGATTTCATTCATTTCTGAATAAGTCCTGAAAATTTCATTAAAATCCAACAATTATTTCATTTTTGCAAGAATTTCCTAATTAACGTGTGCTTTCCTCGGGAAAAGCGCAAAATAAAACAAACCTTTTTTTAGTACTCTCGCGCTGTCGTAAAAAAAAACATAATTTTTAAGCAAAATTTTCTACGTGCTAGAAAGGATTAAAAAATTTCAAAAAATATTTAAAAAATACTTTGGTCTTTCCTCTTCATAACAACATAAACATAACATAAACAAAACTTTGTTTTCGTTGATATATGAGTCATTTTTAATCGTGATATGCCGATTTTTTACGTGACCTAATGGACATACCTAATATAATATATATAATATAATACACATATAATATATATAATATAATATAAAATATACAATAATATATACAATATAATATATATAATATAATATAAAATATACTATAATATATACAATATAATATATAATATAGTATAAAATATAATATAATATATACAATATAATATATATAATATAAATATATATGTATTATATATAATATAATACATATACAATATATATAATATAATATAAAATATACTATAATATATACAATATAATATATATAATATAATATGTATAATAAATATAATATAATATATATAATACATGATATCATATATATATAATATATATATAATATAATATATATATAATATAATATATAATATATGATATAATATAATATAATATATATGGTATAGTACAATATGATATATAATATAATATATATAACATAATATATATAATATATATAATATAATATGTATAATGTAATATAACATATATAATATAATATATATAATATTATATAATATATAAAACGGTAAAGATGAACGGTAAAGATGAAAAGATCTAGAAAAAGCCGACGTCCAACAAAGTATCTTAAAGTATAATACGTGGAGGGTCCTTATCGACCTTGTCCTGAAGGTACACATCAAAAAATAAATAAATAAATAAATAAATAAAAAACAAAAAACGGTAGCAAAGAAGTAATTGTACACCTATAAGCAGAAAATCATCATCCAATACATTTATAACGATTTACTAAGCGTAGCTTAGATGTGGCGCAAGGCCGTAAGTGTGGAGCACCTAATGAGGGTCGAAGAGGTTTGCGAGCCATTAAACCCCATCAATGATTTTCTAAGCGAAGCTTAACTGTGACACATCGCCGATAGTGTGAAGCAGCCCTAAGGAACGAACTGACTATTTGGTCGTAAACGATCTAATGAGACAAGCTTCTACCACGTCGATGTACCCAGTGATTTTCGAAGGATAGCCGAATGCGTGGAGCACTCAGTGAGGATCGATTTCATCTCTCAGACGCAATGGATCTAGCGAGACAAGCTTGCTAACCATTACATGCCCTTAATTTTCTAAGCGTAGATGTGACACAAGGCCAGAAGTGTAGAGCGAGTGTAGGATCAAACTGACTACTCAGTCTTACTTGATTTAGCGTAGCAACAACTCACTACTCAGCCACAATGGATCTAGCGAGACAAGCTTGCTAACCATTACGCCACGTCGAAGTGCCCTTAATTTTCTAAGCGTAGATGTGACGGAAGTTTAGAGCGAGTCCCAGTTAGGATCAAACTGACCACTCAGTCATAACTGATCTAACGTAGCAACCAGTGTGGATCGAACTCACTCACTCAGCCACAATGAATCTAGCGAGACAAGCTTGTTAACCATTACACCACGCCCAATGATTTTCTATGCGTAGCTTAGTGGTGGTTAATGGCCGAATGTATGGAACACACAATGAGGCTCGAACTAATTGCTCTTGCGAGATAAGCTCTACGCCGACGTGCCCAATCTTAGGCATTTACAGATCGTCTATTTTTTTGTTTTTATATCTCTCTTTTCTTCCATATCTTCTCTCTCTCTCTCTCTCTCTCTTTCTATCTCTATTTCATAATGTGCTTCCTTTCATTCTTTTAGTCTCTTCTCTCCTTCTCTTTTGTTACTTGTATCATTTTTTAATCTCTTGTTTCCAGTCTTTTCCTTTCTTTCTTAGCCTTCCTTTTCCCCGTTTTCCGCTTTCCTTCCGCCTGCGTATTTTTCTCTTGTTAACCATCTTTTGCCTTTTATTTATTTTTCCCTCTCACTTCGTAATCTCCTTATATTTTCTCCCTCATTCTCTCGTTTTTTCTCTCTCTCTCTTATATCGGCGCATGTTCTTCTTTAGGAGATTAAGTCTATATTCTAAAACACTCAATCATTAATCAAGAAATTTCACACATAAACATTAACATATTTTATAAAAAAAAAGATATTTAGCATAATGGTCTCACCGTTGTCTGTCCTCGACAAATGTGTCCCTGAGGTCTCGTCTTGCGTGATTTGTAATCAACGTTTCGATTTGATCATCATCAGAGACTGTAAACCTGCCGAAAAATTCTGGGTTTTGCAGATCAAATTTTTCACTTCTGAACCGACAGAACCACTTACAATCAGTATTTTCAGCAACGGCAACATCTCCATAAATGGCACCTATCTCTTTTATTTTTGTTCAGCGATTTTTTAAAAATTTCTGGTTATAAAAAAAGCACCAAATGACGAAAATGCAACTCTTTTGCCTCCATTTTCAGTTTTAACGTATAAACATTTTAATTTCATAATCCACACACGAATTAAGGTATTGCTAACAGACACTAGTTAACCGGTTTTCCTAGCCAACTCATTGACCACCAGATTAGACTATTTCTTTCCAAAGTATCTAATAACGATATTGAATATAGAGACAAAAGCAATATCATTAACATCTTCTGCAAAAACCAAATAAACTTCAACTATAAGCAAGATGAATTTTCACTTAGAAACACACATTTAAACACACACAAAAAACTACCAGACTCCATCCGAAATATGCTAGTAGAAAATACAAGCATAATAACGTCGTCCACATGTAAAAAAAGATTAAAATAATGGAAGCTCTAATGATAACAAAGAAAAAAACAACACTCAATAATATTAACTATGTACGCGGCCATAATATGCTGACCGTGTTCGGAAAATAATACATTCCTATAACTTCATATGCATACATAAAAAAAAACAAGACATATTTAGTTAAAGATAAAGAAAATAAAAAACCGCCCGAGATAATGGTCAAAAGAATCGCCGAAAGCGCTTGGATATGCAGAAACTTTGGACAATTTTTACACACTTTGTGTCCAGAAAAGAAAACACTTCTACGAACACAAGAAAAATTAAATAAAAAAGTTTAGTCTCAGTACTTTGTCAGTTGTCTTTAACGAAACATGTGTAAAAGAGGGATTGCTGCCTAATTACAATATATATATATATATATATATATATATATATATATATATATATATATAGATGTTTATAATTATTTTTAAAAATATGATTCCATGTAAAAAAATAATTATAATTTAGGCTCTACTTATGTATCGAGTACAGTTTTTTAAAAATAAAAACAAAATACTAAGGAACTTCGGATTATTAACCTAACACGTTCTTTCCTATTTTTTATGCACACACACACACACACACACACACACACACACACACACACACACACACACACACACACATATATATATATATATATATATATATATATATATATATATATATATTTCGATTTCATTACATTCACTTCCACATATATACCAACAGCTATGAAAGTAATAATAAAACTTTGAGTGTGTCATAAATTGTATCTCCGTCATAAATGCATTTGTCAGTATCTACTCAAGACAACAAGGATACATACATACACTTACGCACGTGAGCACACGCACACACAGACAGACACACACACACACATATATATAAAAGTGAACATTGAAGTCAACACTCAGAGGCTACAGACTATTTCATGGTAAACACAATCATCAGGACACATGCGTTGTGTTTTTTCTCGATTATTTGTATATACGGGTCAGTGGTGCATTGTGGGTAGTCTGTTCTAACGGTTATTTTGATGGGACTGGTTTGTTAATTTGTTTATTATTTACGTTATTTATTTATTTGGATTAATTTATTTTACTTGTTTTTGTTTATTTATTAAACCAATTAAACGCAGGCACCGAGAACATGGCACAAATAACAAAAAAGCACCACAGGAAAACTATCAACAAACCATCTGAACAAATTAAACCCACGTGTAACTGCTGAATAAAGAACGAATGTCCCTTAAACGTCAATTGCTTACAAAAAAATAATATTTCAAGCTGCGTTGAAAATTTAGTACTGCGCTTAAATTCGTAAAGTTGAGGTACCAAAGAGGAAGACTCATTCTTTTTCTCGTATTCTTTCACACTTGGCAACTCCCTTGTGTCTTAGTGGCTTTATTGCCTTGGTTGGGAAGAAATGATTAAAATGTAAAGTCTGGAATCAATGCCGCATCCAATTGATACACTTTAGCAGGCTAGAGACAGTCCGCCCCGATGTAGGCATCTATCTTATGCGTTTTGGCACATCAGGCTAGCAAAATCAGTTGCACGTATTTCTACTATCAAATCATTTTCGTTGTATATCTCTAATGAGCAAAGCATTTACATTATGTATAAAATAGACCTGTTTTGTCATTAACGCTTCTTTTCTGACAACCTCTTTCTTCTTTTTTTAACTGCATTTCTCTAGTAAATGCATTAGCAATGAGATTTACATTAGATACGAGTGGGTGCTGAAAATGTATCGATTCAACACCTTTCTTCAAATGAGTATTTCAATCACCAAACAAAGATTTTTGGAAAAGTGTCAGGCCGATAAATTTACAGCACCTCCTTGTGCATTTCTTGTTGAGCATTTATCTGTTAGTAAAACATACCTAAATTCCTGACCACTGACAAGACTTTTCTTCCTGCTCCTGAATGTATTTTTATAGTAAAATAATTAACAATGTTTTTATATTATCTAAATAATTTTCCTATTTTATCGTAAGAGTGAACATCAATTTCTATTCACTAACAATGCCCTGTTTTCAGTTTCTGAAAGCACTACTATAATAATGCCATTAGCAATGCATTTACAACACACACACACACACACACACACACACACACACACACACACACACACACACACACATATATATATATATATATATATATATATATATATATATATGAAATATAGTCTTAAGATGTGCTATATTTATGGTATAAAGTGTTCAATATCAGAGATAGAGCGTGTGTAAATATAAAATTTATTATAAAGTCAACACTTAGGGCGGTCATTTCTGACTGACTGCACCACTGACCTGTATATATATAAATAGCCGAGAAAAATAACAGCACTTCGTGGCCTGACGATTGCATCTAGTATGAAACAGACTGTCGCCTCTAAGTGTTGACTTTATGTTCACTTTTATATATATATATATATATATATATATATATATATATATATATATATATATACACGACTCTCCTGTCGACTGCGACGTATGAGCCGAATACAGAGATCTGGTGCACAAGGTTCGCAAACTACCATCCATAGGTTTTGAATTCATTGTTGTCCTTCTTCTAGACCAGTTGCCATCCAAGGCGATAGAACCCAATCTGTCCTGCTATTTACCTATAGCTAGAGGGAGAAGAAAAAGGATTATCAGCTTGCCCAATGGTATTAGCACATCAGTGAATGTAATGGATTCGATTGGAATATCGAATTCGGCTCTCTGATTCCTCAATCCAAGCGGCTAACCATTACTCCACTAGTGCACACGTCCTGTCAAAATTGACATCAAGAAGAAATCTATTATAGATAATACGTATTATACTGTAATTAATTTTTGTTTAATCCAAGTGATTTTTACTGTGTAACAAGTGAGGAGAAGTGTGCAAAGTAACGATGACCCTCCCACCAAAATTTGGATTTGAAAAAAAAAAAAGAACTTTAGTTTAATAATTATAAGTGACGGACATGAGTTACGGGCAACATTAGTCATGTGGAATATTTGTTTTATGAATTTAATTGTATTTTATTTCCTTTTCAGGACTAATTAGGAAGAAATAAATAAATATAATTTATGTACGTATGTGAAAAACAGTGGAATATTGTTATGTTTCTTTTTCTTTTTCAAAAACAAATATAACTTGAATTTGGACGGATGAACCATCGTTTGTCTGAAAGACCCAGTACAGTTGTGTGTGCTGTTTAGTAGTAACGGGGGATGCAAGATAGAATTTAGTTCTTACTATGAACTGCGTCGCTGTTGTTTGGGGCGGTCTCTTTGTAGTTTTAAGCGCGGTGGAATTTTGCGTGTGGACAAAGACGCATTCTAAAAGCTAGGAAGAGTATTACGAGACAGGAGGTTTTCTTTGGTAACAAAGAAACGAGTACTGAAATGCTACGTGACATCTTTTCTCCTTTACGGTTGTGAATGTTGGACAGTCTCCTCTAAGATGAAGAAGAGACTCAAGGCACCGGAGGTATGGTTCTACAGAAGGAAGCTAAGGATATCACGGACCGAGCGTGTGAGAAATGATGAGGTTTTGGAAAGAATGCGTATAAGGAGGAAACTTATATTTAACATCAGCAAGAGGCAGATGAAATTTCTGGGACACGCAACGAGAAAGGAAGACCTGGAGAATATGATACTCACAAGTCGAATAGAGGGAACGAAAAACAAGGGAAAACAACACATGACATACCTAGTGGACTTAAGCAAGGGACACGACACATAAAAAGAAAGAATATTTGCCTTTTTACTATACCACCCACTCCCTGTTCTGATACTCATTTACACAGGCTCATTTGGTAAAATATTCACTGTTAACCTTTCTCTTGCCTTTAATTTGTCCTCTGAGTGTCAAATTCTCCAACCCACTTTCTTCATACGTCTTAATAAATTCAACTCTTTCCGAATTTAACTCTAAGTGTCTTTTTTATTTATATTTTCCTTAGATCTAACACGTTACATAAAATTCAATAAAAAAATGTTTGAAAAAAATTGAAGACGGGACACTTTTTTATTGTGCCATATCACTTGAGGACGTGAGAAATGATGGCTCTCTACAACTTCCTATTCTTTGTAGCTTTTAGCAAGGTTTGTCTTCTTATTGTCCTTTTCAGTGCACTATGTCCTGTGAGTGTCAAACTCTTGTGAATTACATTTTATATTAAAACAACTTCTCTC